ATGTACTTTTTCACGCACTTTTCGCTCAGTTATTCTATTCCATCACAAGCTAATCATTGAAGCTTCGATACTCGTGACTGCATATAGCTCTGTTGAGGAGCAACGAGGGACGATGATGATTACCATCACAAGCTGACCGTTGAAGCTTCGTTACTTGCGATTGCATATAGCTCTACTGAGCTGCAACGAGGACGGATGTTAATCTTGTTTTTTTCATGATGATGACGTTTTCACGTATAAAGTGGAAGAAATTATTGGGGAGCGATATCTTAAAACCGTATTACAAACCGAAAATTTTAACAGAGATGATAGTAAAACAGTATTTAATCATTGGTTATTACATGTAATAAGTTTGAGAGGACTGGGTGTAAAAACGAATGCAAAAACAGCATTCAAAACATAACACCTGCGCGCGCAACGCCATAAATGATTACCCTATGGAGCCACCTTAACTTAGCGCTAATTCCGACGTGCAATGCCTCAAGCCTGGTTTTCACTAGCGACGCAAGAACAAGCGCAAGCAAAAGCACAAACAATAATTCTTCTTTCACCGCGAAGACGGCCTTGACGCAGGCATAAGGACAAGCGCAAGCACAAGGATCAAAATTGTTCCTTTTTCTTGTGATTGCGCTTTTGCTTGCGTTGCGCTGTAACAAGTGAAAACGAAATACCGCTCAGGCAGGCAGACCTTATTACCCGAAAGAATTTACACAATGCCCGAAAGCGTGAGTGTTGTTCAAACGCACTCAAATCGGATTGAAAACAACGACGTTCACAATTCTCACGTAATCTCTGTAATCATTCCAAAAATAGTTATTTTGAAACCTCACATACTCTATGACCTCGATCGACAGCCTAGTGAAAATCAAAAACTTAGAAAAGAAACGTTAATTCTTCCTCGTACGAAAAGTTCAAGAAAACTTTACAACGGCTTTTTGTGGAGCCATTCAAAACGGCTTTTTTCAGAGCAACAACAAAGACAAAAGTCTTGGCCTTCGTTTGCTTTGATTCTTTTG